AAGAAAATGAATAAACACATTCCCAAAGATGACAAAGAAGCTGACAAAAGGTCCATGAAAAGCTGCTCAACATCACTAATCAAGGCAATGCAGATCAAAACCACAAGAAAATACTACTTCACACCTATGGAATGAGTGTTATCAAAAGACAAGACATAACAAGTGTTGGTGAGGATATGCACTGTTAGTGAGAATGTAAACTAGTACAACCACTATGGAATAAAGTATAGAGGAATTTCAAAAAATTAAAAAGAGAACCACCATGCAATCCCATTTGAGTATACATTCAAAAGAAATGAAGTTATTATCTCAAAGAGATAGCTGTATGCTGACAGTGCCTCAGGATTATTAACAATAGCTAAAAAGTGTTAACAATCTAAGGTGTATGTTGATGACTAAGTAAAGAAAATGTGAGATATACAAACTGTTACTATTCAAAAGGAAATCCCCGTCATTTTTGACAATGTGGATTGATCTTCTAAGTGAAATAAGTCAGAGAAAGATAAGTACTGTAATAATTGTATGTATAATCTAAAAAGGTTAAACTTACATGCAGAGGAGAGTGGTATAGAGTACAATTGTCTGGAAGGGCAGGAGAAATGGGGAATGTTGATCAAAGGATACAAATCTCTGGTTACAAGATGAATGTATTCTGGGGATCTAATGTACAGCATGAGGATTAAAATTAATACTGTATTACATACTTGAAAACTGCTAAAAGAAATTATTTAAGTAATATAAAAAAAATGGCACTTATGTGACAGAACTAGGTTGTGGTAGTAAACGGTTTACAGTGTATAAGTTTATCAAATCATACTCTATACGCCTTAAACTGGTTGTCTCTAATCTTTTTTTTTTTGATGCTATTATAAAGGATTGTTTCCTTAAAGTTATTTTTGCGTAATATAACCAATTGTGAGTGTTGATTTTGTTTCCTGCAACTTACTTGAATTTATTAATTCTAAGTTTTTTTTTTTAAATGGCATCTTTAGGGTTTGCTATGTGTAAGATCATGTTCCTTGCAAAGAACTTTTTACTTCTTTTTTTAATACCTGTATTACTTTTTCTTGGCTAGAACATCCAGTACAATGTTGATCAGAAATGTGGAGAATGCATATCCTTGTCATATTCCTGACTTTAGAGGAAAGCTTGTTTTTCATCAAGCTTTGAATATGAAGTTAGCTGCAAGTTTGTCTTACATGGTCTTTAGTACATTCCTTTTATAGCTCGTTTGTTCAGCATTTTTGTCACAACAATGTGGGGTCTTGTTAAATAACTTTTCTACACCCATGAGATAAGCCTGTGATTTTCATCCTTCCTTTTGTTGATGTGATCTCATATTGATTTTAATACACTGAACCATCCTTACATCCCAGGGAGAAATGCCACTTGCTCATGGTATATGATCCCTTAATGTATCGAAGGATATTCAGTTTGCTAATATTTCACTGAAGATTTTCACATCCCCATTTTCATCAGTAATACTGGAATGCAGTCTTTGGTAATGCTAGTTTCATAAAGTAAATTTGTTAAGTCTTCCCTCCTCTTCAATATTTTGGAAAGAGTTTGTTTGGTCTTATTTCTTTTTAAATATTAGGCAGAATTCACCAAAGAAATCATCTGGTCCTGGACTTTACTTTGTTAGAAGGTTTTGATTACTGCCTCCATTTCCTTTCTCATAGATCTGTTCAGATTTTCTATTTCTTCATGCCTCAATCTTGGCAGGTTCATGCTTCATAGAATTTTTTACTGGTTATCCAATTTATTGGCATATAATTGTCTACAGTTCTTTCATAATCCTTCTATTTCTGTAGTATCAGTTATGTCTCATCTTTCATTCTAATTTTATTAAAACCTTCTGTTAGTCTAGATAACAGTTTGTCAATTTTGCTTATTTTTTCCAAACACCAACTCTTAGCTTCACTGATTTTTTTTTTAAGTCTGTTTATTTTTGCTATAATTTTTATTATTTTCTTCCTTCTGCTAACTTATATGCATAAATTAAATAGCACTCTTCTAAGCCATCAATGAGTCAAAGAAGAAATCAAAAGGGAAATAAATTTCTTGAAAGAAATGGAAATGAAAATACAACATATCAAAACTTATGTGATGTAGCAAAGGCAGTACCTCAAGGGACGTTTATAGCAATAAATGCCTGTATTAAGAAATAAGGGTGGCTTCAAACAACTCAACTTAAGGAACTAGAAAAAGAACACAAAAGATTTTTCTGGTTTCAGAGTACATGTTCATTAATATCCACTCATGTTTCTAGTTTTTGCATGTCCTGTTTCTATTTTCTAGATCAGCATTGTCCAAGAGAAATATAATGTGAGCCACAAATGAAAGCCTTATAATGCAACTTTAATTGCATCATAGTCACATTTTTAAGAAAAACATGAACTGCATAATGAATTAACCAAATATATTTAAAACACTACGATTTCAACATATAATCAATTTTTAAATTAGAGACAGTTTACATTTCTTTTTGTGCTAAGTCTTTGAACCTCATATGTGGTTTACATTTCTATCAATACAATTTGCACCAGTTTATTTCAAATGCTCAGTAGTCACATGTGTCTAATGGTTACTGAATTGTGCTAGTCTAGGTGTCCTTCACCCAGTTTACCTAGTAGTAAGTAGTGTATACTCAATGACTGTATGACCAACCATATCTAAACTCTATAACACCCTGTAGTGATTATGTAGCACCCTACACACAGCTAAAATTCATTAACTCATTTATTCAATAAATACCATTTCATCTTTGCAATTTATGAGAATTTTTCTTCCTTAAATGGCTTTTTATTTTGATTTCCAAGAACAGTGAGCTCTGCTCTTCTTGCCACCAAATCATTAGTTCAACAGCATGATCTCTTACTGGAAGCAGGGAAGAGGGAAGGTAGGGCCTGTTTTATTAAAGTATCTCATGGTATGAAAAATCTCATTTAAACGAAATCTACCTTTAATGGTCTCTTAAACAGGCCCCCAACAAGAAAAACAATATATATGACCTTTTGTGTCCATAGCCACGCAAAGATCCATAAGCAAATCTAATAAGTTCATATACCCCACCTCATACTTAACTGTACTTCAAAAATTCACTTAGCAGAATAACAGATGGATTTGCTATTGTTGGTAGAACATCACTCCAAAATAACATAATGGAATCTGTATAACTCAAACGCCAATCTTACATAACTATTTTCTATACTCATCTCCTCCACTTATAATACCATATCCTGTACCTCAACTGCTCTACTATTTTTGTAACACATTTCTAACTATTCTATCATTTAAGGACCTAGGCATCAGATTGGCTAGCAGCACATAGAGTGAAAACAGCAAGAATTTCACATTCTAGTTTTATTACCATCCATGACACTTCCAGTAACCCTTGAATAAGAATATTATCTACACATAGTTTTATAGTCCATGAAAATTCAATGAGGAATTAAACATAAAAGCAAGGAAGTATTAATTCCACTTTCTTTACCCAATTCATTAAGTCTTTGAAAATCTTTCCTTTAATTCAGAGATTACATTTTGAAAACTAATGAGGAAAATCAGTATTTTTAGATCACATCTTAAAGTTGTAAATTAAAAATAAAGTGTCAAATCAATTATTAATCACATTACCTGCACAAATTTGGGTGGAAATTTCTGTCTAAGGTCTAGAAGTAAAGCATCCACACGTTGTCTCTGAAAAATAGAGCTTGGTTCTTCTTTCCTTTTAGCTTTAGGTTTGACTTTATCTATTAAAATATAAACCAAATTAAATCATAGTTAGGGGTCTTGTCTACCATAAAAATACTCAAGCTTCATTATTTTTAATGACTGTTATCAAAAGATAATCTCCCAAATAAATTAAATACAGCATACACCAGAAGGATTCTAACTTACTACATTAAATGAAGTTTACATTCTTACATTTAAAAAGTCAATGTCTTGGCCCTCCCTGGTGGCGCAGCAGGTTAAAGCACAGCACTGAGAATCTAAAGCCACTTTCGCATGAGTTCGATTCCCGCCTGCCGCCTGCCCAGGAGGAGACCACATGGCGGGCCAGACCTCTCCTGACCCGCCCGCTGCTTCCCTCAGCAGTGTACTTTGTCAATCTGCCTGTTCTGCTCCCACTCTGTCTCTGGTGAAGCCTCTCACCGCCCCTGAGCCTCTGGCCTGTACCCCAGTTCTGTATGCACAAATAAATAAATCTTAAAAAAAAAAAAAAGTCAATGTCTTAAAGATATTTCAGTATTTAACAAGTATGCACGGACATAAAATTCAAAATCACCTAAGTCACAATCCAGATTATTGGTTTAAAACTGTCTAGTGTAGGCCCTCCCTGGTGGCGCAGCGGGTTAAAGCACAGCACTGAGAATCTGAAGCCACTTCCGCATGAGTTCGATTCCCGCCTGCCGCCTGCCCAGGAGGAGACCACATGGCGGGCCAGACCTCTCCTGACCCGCCCGCTGCTTCCCTCAGCAGTGTACTTCGTTGATCTGCCTGTTCTGCTCCCCACTCTGTCTCTGGTGAAACCTCTCACCGCCCCTGAGCCTCTGGCCTGTACCCCAGTTCTGTATGCCCAAATAAATAAAAAAAACTTTAAAAAAAAAAAAAAAAACTGTCTAGTGTATATGATAAGTAAATTAGTTTTTTCCAAAACTCTAACAGGTGTAAATGAAAAATGTTGATTTTCATAAAACTCAAACTACCATACTTAGTAATGAAGAAAAAAATTCACTGAAAAACAAAGTAAGTCAAATATAAGATCACAAAGACAGAAAATAACCTCCAAGGGAAATTCTTGTTAGTCACATGTAGAACTTTCCCAGGAAAGAGGTGTACTGTGGGACTGTTTCTAAATGAAGGGTTTCAGGTAAGTTTTACTCCAAAAAGTTTCATTAGGGTGGAACAAACAGCAACTCAGAGAAGTTAAGTCAACTGATGCAAACTTTCCTACACCAAAGGTTGCTGCCTACAACTACTATTAAAAATAGATATAACTATACCTAAAAAACCATTCACTCCAAAGGTCTGAATTCCATTTAAAGTTTACCAGTCTTGCACCTATTTATTCTGAGCAGTTATTTCTTAACAAAGGAAATTCAGATGGCAGGTATACTGGTATAGATATATTTCCAGAAATACTTTAAAATGGTAAATATGGTACAGAACAAGTTAACAGGTTATGGAACCTAGAGGACTCAGACAGGTAATTACATGGAAAGATCTGAAAACAGACTGGTTATCTTGAGATAGGGCTCTAATAGCACCTTTCCTACTTTCAAAATGGGGGCGATTTGGATTCCAGATTTCAAAATGACCAAAGTTAGGTAAACAAAAAATGCCATTACTCATTCCTCATGACTGATTTCCTCTGATAGGAAATAGCTATTATTACAACATCTAGTTATATGAATTGTAGATGACAATGTAAAAGATAGTCAGAAGTCATCAATAGTCATTTTCTTAAGCAAAACAACTTACTATTCAGAAAGTCAACTGTTTTAAGAGGGTCTAGGTGTCCAACCTACCTTGCTCTTCATGATCTTTGAAGTGCCACCAATACCCTTTGGAAGGATGATATCGACAATATGACATAGCTTCCTCAAAAGCTGACTGAATGCCATGAACTGCAGTAAGCTTGTAAAAAGAAACAAATCATGAATTTCTCATTAGTTCAACCGAAATTTCCAAAGTACTCACAAAATATTATACATGCAGACAGTAATCTCATTTTTCAGAACCTGAATCATTTGGGACTATAGT